TTGCGCACGTTAAAGATCCCTTGGTGGTCTAAAATCGATAAGAGTAGGCTTCGGCCGCCACCCGGGCAAAATTCAAAATTTCCTACCAACTGAACTTTTAGTGTGTCCCGCGCGCTCATGAGCATGCAGTTGCGAGCGCCGTAAAACACTAATTACCAAAACAAACATACAAAAAAACTAAGATAGATAAAATATAATATGTCATGATACGATAAGATAGGATAGGGTATGATAAAATAAGGTAAGACACGGTAAGATAAGATAAGGTAAGATAAGGTAAGTTAAGGTGTGTATATATATGTGTATGTCTCTCTGTGCGTGTGTGCGTGTGTGCATGTGTGTGTGCATGCGTGTGTGTGTGTGTTTGTGTGTGTATGTGTGTGTGTGTGTGTGTGTGTGTGTGTGTTTATAATGTATATACTGAACGCCATTAAAAACGTAACGTTTTTAAAAAGTTATAAAAATGCTAAATATGCTCTTCTCGTCACGATGTTTGGAGATATAAGTGAGTAGTTGTTAGTCCACACACCCAGGCACGATATTTGCTATTTCCATGAGTACGTTTCATTACAATACAGTAAGCTATGCTTTAGTAAAATGTATTCATTAGTTACTATATTACAAACGCATAAAAATTATTTACCTGGAAGATGGCCTGTAGCTCTTTCTAAACAATGTCCTAGCTTTAAAAAATAAATAAATATATTTTTAAACTTCTTTCATTACAAGGTTCCTCAACGTAGCGAAGCTGATCGCATTTTTCGCTTCCACCTTGTTCTTTGCGGAAAATCTGTATGAGAAGCAGGAATACGACTAAAAGGCATTGGTTGTACTGTTCTCGACTTATACAAAGATATTAGCACACTTGAAATGTCCGAGGTCGACAAAGAGGACAGCCTCGAGTGACCAGCGCTGTTCAAGAGAGGCAGATTTTGTTGTCGCATCTGCGAAATTGTTTCATTCCTTAAAAGTAAACAGCTCAAGGCATGTATTAAAGGCGTGAAAATGTTTCTTTCATCAGTGTGAGGCGCGGAGTAGTAAGTTCAGGAATAAGATCAAGAACGCCTGATTTAGGACTGCAGTTAACGAAGCCGCGACGACAGCGTCGTCTTCATGGTGCGAAACAGCACGAAGAAAAAATCAGAATCTCTCAGTCATCCAGCACGACACTCCTGCTCTCACACTGCCCATGTAACAAATATCACAGTTTCTGGAAGATCGTGACATGAATATCATGAACTCGCTAGTGTTCGTACCGGACAAGTCTCCAACAGCGCGCGTATGGGATAAACTCAACCGCAAAGTGTGCGTTGTTTTTTGAATCTCCAGGTGTTGGGAGATCGCGCTGCCGCAAAAGTGGGACAGAAATTCTCCACAAAACATTGAAAATGTTATAAAATCTGTTTTCATGTTAAGGATGGCCATTCAATTGACTACGAGTGAGAGATCCTTATTGAGTTTCGATTTGTGTAGATCTATATCTGCAAATTTGTCTAAAGGGGGTACTCTGAAAGAAGGAAGACAATGTATCGAAATCAATCAAAATTCTATTTGCTGGGTACCTAGTTTTGAGAAATGTGACGTTAACAATTTTGATTTTCACAGCTTTTCTGAAAATCTAATTCTTTAAATATCTTGATAATTACTCCGAATAATCTTACGGTTGTACCAGAGCAGATAGAACATTTGGTTTCTGACCTCATGGTCATAGTAACTCAGAACTGCCAAAATGTTCAGAATTTGTAATTCTAAAGTTGCGCATTGTCGACACGCGTGTAAATTACCTTCCCTTTTTATTAGAGATGACGCATTGTGCAACAGCTTGCCGCTGTTCTGCAAAGCTATGTCTTGGTGAAGTTGTACCTGAGAGTGAGCCATGGCGGAGTAAAGAAGTGGAAAACTTGTCGGTCAAAATAATACAGCTGTTCTTAGCAGGAGAGGTAAAAAAGATCCGTTTCAAAAACCCAAATATACAAGTAATATTAAAATGAACACTTACGAACCAAATAAGCATATTCGGGGAGCGTAGGCAGCATTTTTTATAAAACTTTTGACCCAGTTTTTTAACTTTGTTTAACTACCTTGATATAACTTAAAATTCATAAATAGCGAAATTCGTTCATAAAGTGTTCCCCGGATTTCGCTATATACAGTCAAACCTCGTTATGCCGCGTACCCTGAGGCGAGTATAAAGCTGGCAGAACAACGGGCTGCTGGTATAACGGGAGAGCATCGATTGCCATCGTCACTGGTGTTTGACTGGTAAAGATTAAAGTCAAACTTTGGCCAGTCTTGCCTCATCCTGATCTGTCTTGTGCGATTGCCATCGAAAAAAAAAACAGTCGTAAGGTATTCGAGCTTTTATCAGGCGATTCGTCTGAAGTTTCTTCAGGAGACTTTAATATTAAAATTTCAAACAAATTCATTTTTAAAATTTTGGCCAAAGCCCAAAATGATAGCATTTTTATTATCAGCGAAAATCAGAAGCATATCGACAAGTGTTAGAACTGCCAAGCTCGCGGAGGTGTGTATGGGAAAGAGATTATTTAAGCAGCCGCCATTTGAAATTTGTACCTCGAGCAGTCAAATCGTGCGTGTGGTTGGAGGGCGTCACTGATAGTTTCTACTTCTTTACTCCCCCCCCCCCTGTTGTTTGTTTCTGTCTCACTTTCTTACTAAAACCGGCGTTTAATGACCATTATTGCGTCGATGTGAGTTTCTTTACTCAAACAAACAAGAAAAGTCAGTTCGCTGGCGGTACAGCGGTGCAAATTTGCATTAGTTTAAACAGTTGAGACACTTGGCAGATGCAGAGCGTGGGGGTACGGTTTGTTCACACGAGGAAATTATTATTTTGTTTGTATTTATTTACCTCAATACAGTGTATTGTTCTCCATTCTACAGGAGCGCCGACTGGCCACAGTACAATATGGAGGATATGAAGTACCTGGACTTCAAACCTCGTGCGGAGGTCAGACAGGGGCTGGAGATGGACAAGAGGAGATTCTGGCTGGAAGAACTCACGGAGTCGGTTCCGGAAAAACATGTGCATACTGATTTATAGAACTATTGGTTGAAAGAAAAAACATGATACGTTTTGGGCTATTCAATTGTATATATTATGTTATAATGAGAAAAAGGCATTTAAATTCATTTTTATTTCGACGAGGAAACAGATGTGAGAGAGAGTCGGCTCAGAAAACGTATGATTATACGGATTTATACGAGTGTTAGTTACACAACTATAAGATATTTTTGCTGCATTAGGTGCTTTGACTACATAATGAGTCAAGGTCTGTACGGTACATTTATCTTAGAAGGAAACAGTTGTATGCCAGTTCTGATTTATGACATCAACACAATGTTATGAGTAAGTGAGTCTGTTTCTATTACGCTACCTCATAATTACCAAGTTCTATCTGACATTTTTGGCCGTTTTGAGTTACTACGACCATGAAGTCCTTATCCAGGTGTTAAAAGAATTACATTCGGAAAAGCTTGACATGTTGTGAAACTCAAAATTTCTTACGTCAAGTTTCTCAAAACTATATACTGAGCATATAGAACTTTGTAATTCTGGGTTAGCGATTTGTATTTTACTAGGGAAGAGCATGCATATTGATTTCAATACGACAACTGAGTGATGGACATTAAGCCTATGAGTCTGTGAATTATTCTGTTGATCAGACAGGTGAATCCTTATTGGGAAATGAACGACCAGTCACTTATCTTGTCATCTTTGAAGCAGTCAGATGACCGACTCTTTCGACCAATTTGACTAAAATACTGAATGGAGAAAAAACGGACACCCTTCTGAACTATGACTGTAGATCTAGTTGATCTAACAAATTATTACTTTTAATGTTGTCTTTTTCCCCTTCACATTTCAGTGTCTACTAGGTGTACACCCATTGATTTTTCACAGACAGATAAGATAAGATATAATTTTATTAGTCTCCACAAAGAAATTTGCTGCGGAATGGTAAATACATACAACAGGCACACACACAAGCACATGCACACACACACACACACACACACACACACACACACACACACACACACACACACACACACACACTCACACATAATACACATGTACACATG